GGAACTGACTCAGTAGCAGTGGGTTTGCTTGGTTTATGCTAGCTCAGACCCAGGGTTGGTCACCCACTAGGTACTTAGGAAGTGCTCATGGATTGAATGACTGAATGAATGGATTAATGAGCAAAAGAGCAGAGAGGAGGCTCTTGAAAATAGATAAGAAGCGTCCAGAGTAATTTAACGAGGCCCTAGACTGGAATGGAGAGGGTGGGTTAGTGGTGGAATTCTCGCCTTCCATGCCTGAGACGGGTTCAGTTCTGGCCAAAGAACCTCAAGTGCAGTCACCGGCCACCTGCCGTTGTTGTCTTCATGCTGCAGTGATGTGGAATAGGATTTCGTGGACCTTCCAAACTAAGACAGACTAGGACGAAAATAACTGGGCGTTCTACTTCCAAAATTCAGCCACGGCTGCTCATAGGGATAGTGTGGCCAAGACAGCATTTTGTTCTGCCGGGCCAGAGGTCAACCACAAATTGGTGGCTGACTCAACAGTAGAGAGCAACCACCAAACCAGGATGTGAACTCTCTTTATGGGAAGAGGAGGTGAGCATAAGAAAGAGGCAGCAGGTCATGTGTTAAACTAGAAGGCCCAAGGCTTTCTATCTGTGGTACCACCAGTGGTTGGCTGTCCCATAAGCAGACTCAGGACAGTGCTATCTGTGCAGATGAGGCCCACACACACCTTGTGGATAGCTGGCCTGGGGTAGGTGCTAAATGAACATTGCTGTATCCCTATTCTGTGAGACCTGTGCTGAGTAATATTGGGGGAGATGGTGACTCGCTCCTTCCCCCAAAGAGTTCATACTCTAGTCAGTATACTGGGTCCAGGAATCCTGTTGCCAGACTATGTCAGCCAGCATGACACGTAAGTCAGAAAGGAGAACTATAAAGTCATGTAAACCACGATTATACAAAAATATCCAATGTGAAGCTACTGTCTATCCACATTTGAATATCCCCCATCTAAGGCTGCACATTTCTGAAGGCGTGGCACCATCTCTAAGTTTCCCCAAGGAATTCTGGGCGCGTCCATTGACACCACATCAAAATGGCAGTTTGGGCATCCTTGTGCGAGACTCACATTGTGTTCCTTTTACAGGTCCTTTGGGTTTGAGCAACAAAAGGAAGCCTGAAGGGGTATGTTTAGGGCTGTAGGGTGGACGGGATATGATAAGGTTCCCAAAGGAAATCCCTGTAGGACACCACTGGCTCCCCTTGAAGAATTAGCAGGCGCATTGTAGGGATGGAGAACAGCTCCGCAGGGCAACGTGGCTGGCCTCATTGATGCAATTTCCCTCATTGATGCAGTTTTCCATTTGGGGAACATTTCTTCCTAATGTGCCAATCAAACTACTTGGTTGAATTATATAAAATTGCCATTCCTGTAGATAACAAATGAATAGATCTGAAATGGGACTTTTTAATTATATTCCGCTGCCATGCGAGGCGGGTGGTTTTGTTGGGTAACTTTTCATTATAAAAGGAATCACTTTTTTCTGGTAAGGGTGGAAAATAGAAAAACAAATAAATAAGTAGGAAAAAAGTATTGCTGGTATTCCTACTAATAGCTGATTGATCCATCCAGATATTTTCCTTGGCATTTTTAACAATATTTAAATGTTATTACCTATATTAATATCTTCTGATTAAAATACCATTATTTTATAATGGTATAACTACCTGGACATAACATTAAATATTTTGAAAATATGATTGTCAGTGATGATGTAGCATTCTATTGGATGTAGGAATCGTAATCCATCCTAACGCTAACTGGAAGGTGTCCATTGTTAATACAGACATCCGGTCCCATTTCTGATTATCTCCTACTTCCTGTATTCTCCGCAGTGAAATTAAGGGGTCAAAGGGTAGGGATTACTTAGAGTCTGTGGATTTCATCAGTTGGCCACCGTAGTTAGCATGATCCATGATGGCAGAACCCACCATTTGCGGGTTCTGACTTGGTTGCATGATTAAATGCTGTGAACGTTTAAACATTGGTCAAGGGCAGATGGACCTTGAGCTGAGCTTGAAGGATCTAAAGAAAAAGCCAAATCTGGTGCCATCAGGTTAATTCCAACTGAGCAGCACTGTCCCAGGCGATTTCGAAGGCTGTAACACTTGGGGAAGCTGACAGCCCCATCTTCCTCCCTCTGATGCCCGGTGGGTTCCCACTGGCCTTTCAGTTAGCACAGTGGTTCCCAACCTGCCTAATGCCGCGACCCTTTAATACAGTTCCTCGTGTGGTGGTGACCCCCAAACCCTAAAATTATTTTCATTGCTACTTCATCACTGTCAGTTTGCTATTGTTATGAATCAGGTGACCCCAGTAAAAGGGTCGTTCGACCCCGATAGGGGTCGTGATTCACAGGTTGAGAACCACTGTGTTAGCAGCTGCGCACCTACCTCATCTCGAAAGCCCCTGCTTGGAGGGTTAGTGTAGTTCAAATAAGAGGCAAGGAAAGAATGTCCATCGGAGACCAGCAGAAGCCAGGGTACCACGGAAGCCGTGCGGAGGGCAGTGTGAAGACGGAGGTCTAAAATGCCTGGGGGGGTAGTTCCTGTTTGGGAAGAAGGCAGTCGTGATGAACTGAGGAAAGGTTTGGCTGCGAATGTCCAGAAGGCCATAGAGAGCTGTGGGCATCTGTTGAAAGGGGTCGACAGTCACAAAGCAGTGTGTTAATGGTGGCCGAAGGCTTCGTCTGGAAAACCGGAGACATTTTCAGCAGTGGTCAAAGATTTTCAAATGGCAGTTAGCAGCCCAACACGTAACCACTGCACCACCAGGGCTCCTTTAAAAATTACCGCACTGTATAAATAAGGAAGAACCCGACCTGGTGTGCCCAGCATATGGGACGGTGTGACTTGTCACGTTGACCTGACAGCATTGTCCGGGTGGCCCAGGCCCAGGTGAGATTCAGGCTGGAGGGTTCTAGAGTCACCATGGCTGGATCCAAAATGGAGCTCGGAAGCAGTTTCACATTGCGAATTGTCACAGGGACAGAAATGCGCCCGGTGTGCAAGGTGCCCGTGAAGAGAGGTGAGGCAAGAGGGGCAGGAAGGGTCACCGAAGGTCACCGTGCCAGAGCCGTGCTCAGCCTCCCCTTGGCTTTCGTCACGTGTGCTTCCATGACTTCACCTTCACACACTCAAGACATGCTGTCAGGAAAGGAGGGGGCAGCGAGGGAGAGGAAGACCCTCAAGGAGATGGGTGGACGCAGTGGCTGCCACCACGGGCTCAGCACCACTGTGAGGCCGAGCAGTCTGGGGTTGGTAAAGCTTGCAACTTGGGAATCCTGTGGGGCAGTTCTACCCCGTCCTAGAAGGGTCGCTTTGAGTTGAAATCCACTCAACGGCAGGGGCTTGGTTTTCATTGACATTTAGGGGGCTGTGTTTTTATTTCCTGTGTGAATGACACAATATCAGTGTTACTGTTACATCATGTCTTCCCCAGCTTTTGATCAGCTAGATCTTTTCAATTCATGCAGAACAATGAGCTAATTCAGACGACCTTCAGTTAGCTGGGAATAGATAACATCACCAACAACATTTCTATTAAATAAAATATTTTCTGAGACATGTGCACTTTCAAAATCTGTCTCAATACTCTGGTTTCTCTTCAGATTGTAGAAATCACTCGCCGTGTACTAAAATCTGCCTCTCTCTCAATGAACCGCCCAGCACTTGTGTTGTGGGAGAGTCAGGATCACCTTGCAGAGTTTCTCCAGGTTGCCGGCAAGGAAGAATGAGGGGCCCCGCCCAACCGGAAGCTCCTTACTCAACACACACTGGCACCCAATCGATTCTGACTCATAGCAACCCTCTAGGATGGGGTAGAACTGCCCCTCTGGGTTTGCTAGCTGTAAATCTTTATGGAAACAGAAAGCCTCATCTTTCTCCCTTGGGGCAGATGGTGAGTTCAAACTACTGATCTTGAAGTTAGCAGCCAACAAAAACCACTGCCCCACAAGGATGACTTCATTGTCCCTGGCTTGGTCCCTCAAATCAATAGTTTTTCTGGAAATACTTTAAGTTATTTAAAAAAAGAAAAGAATCTCTGTATCCAGTGTCTGACTCAATGACCCCATGTGCTACAAAGAACTGAACTCCATAGAGCTTTCTTGTCTGTAATGTCTGTGGAGTTATAGCGACCCTATAGGACAGGTGGCTAGAAATGTCCCATGGGCTTCCAAGGCTGTAAATCTCTATGGGAGGGGAAAAACTCATTTTTCTCCCAAAGAGGGCCTGGCAGTTTTGAACTGCTGACCTTGTGGTTAGCTGCTCAGTAAGTTAGGTTCTAGAAGCAGATCACCAGGTACTAACCCAGTTCAACTATTTGTGCCACCCAGGGACCTTCCTTAAGCCACAAGACAGACACACTGATGATGACAGAGCGTCACAAGTCTGCCGATCACTTCATGGCTTCTCTTTGCCTGAAGAGTCTGGCTGGCATCCGTGCTTTTGAGAAGGGTGCTGGTTTTTATCTAGGGGACGTAAAGCCGTGGGAGCAGTTTGCCGAGGCTCAGACTGTAGAACAGATGTGGGGCAAGGGCATTGGATGAGCAGAGGAGCTCCTGGCAACTTCTCCTCGTTCCACAGGAAGTTAAACATGAGAGAAAGCAGGGGGGCGGGGAGAGGGGGGTAGAGCAAGGTTTACACGGGGGCCTTTGACCGCTATCCAGAGCCCTGTAGCTCAGCGATTAAATGCTTGGCTGCTTAAGTGGAAGTTCGGTAGTTTGAGCCACCAGCCGCTCCGAGGGAGAAAAATGTGTTGTTATATATATTTAAAAACTCATTCTGAATTATGTTTGTTTTTTTTTTGTTATTGTTGTTCACTTGTTTGTTTTACATTTTTTCTGAGTTTTTTTGTGTGGTTGTGTTCTGCCATAAATAAAATTTTTATTCCTAGGTCCCATTTTAATGGTCGATACAAACAAGCGTTTTCAAAGATGGCCTAGGTAACTCCGATTCTGCACCAAGCCCAATGATTCTCTCTCCTCCAGGAAAGTCTCCGCGGCGGCTGGGTGCAGACGTGGCCGTGGCTCCTCGTCCAGTCACAAGTACACTCCGCGGCGGGCGGTGCTCTACGTACCCGGAAACGACGAGAAGAAAATCCGGAAGATTCCCACTCTGAGCGTCGACTGTGCGGTGCTCGACTGTGAGGACGGCGTGGCTGCCAGCAAGAAGGTAAAGGCCCGGGTTTCCCGAGCCGACGAAAAGTGCAGAGGAAGCGTGCCCCTGGCCGTGGCACTGCTCCCTGTGGGGAGATTGTCCACCACGCCCCTCCTCTGCTGACTGGGAATACAGTCCGTGTCTGATCCAGCCCTCAGACGAGCTCTGCATGTCGAAGTGTCCCTCTCCCAAGACAATGAAAGAACACAGCCCTAATCTTTCTGACTTTGAGCTTCCCCATCTGTGACCACGTGGGTGTGACGGTTTCCTGACCCTGACGTGCTGGCCTTAGTGGTGTGAGTTCTTCAGCTAAGTGAAGTGCCACAAGGCACTTAGTCCCTTCTGCTACTCACCCAGTACATCCTCTAATCACTGCCTGTCGGAATTTAAGATACAAGCAGGCACCTCGACCCCCATTTCTTCCTAATACTCCTATCCCTGACCAAAGCTTATCTCTGGGGGACAAGTGCCGTCTTGACAACACGAACCGCCGCTTCCTCCGCTCCATTCAAGGGCGACCACACAGGACATTAGAGATGCAGGGCTTCTCGTGGCTGGACCCGAGGAAGAAGTGTGAGAAAATACCTAATTTGTAAACCGGTCCAGAGGATTCTTGCTGGGTGGTGGCATCGTGCTTCTGTTTTGTTTTGTTTCCTTTAACTTTGCTTTCCGGATTTCTATGATAAACATGGATGTATTCATTAGTTAAGTGAGACTATAAGTCAATATAACAATACTTTATGTTAATATAGAACTTTTTAAGTTAAAAATACATTCTCACTCAACCTTTAACTATCTAGGCCCTAGACAGTGAGAGTGGGCTGGGAATGGGTTGTGGGCCAGGGGGCTGAGGGAACGGACCATCAGGATTTATACCCATTTGGATAGTTCTTTGCCCCGGGTTGTCCGGGAGAGCATAGCTGTAGTATACATACAACTTAGTTGCTTTATTTGGAGACTCTAGCAAACAAACAATGTCTTAAAAAAAAAAAGAAAAGGTAATTTCAAGTATCTTCCTAGTGGTCGCCCTATGGCTTTCCAAGTATGTGGGAAAGGATTCGAATCGGCATGTGGAATCTAAACCTCTACTCACGGGTTTGGCATGTGCCAGGTAAAATACAATGAATCTTCTTTCTCCTAGAGATTAAGGTAAATAGCCCTCCTCCCTTTCTTTCTGTTGGTATTTTATTGGCAATTTTATGGGTCAGTGCAGAAGCATAATAATTTGTATACAACTCTTAATGAACATACCCCCAAAATTAAAAATAAAAACCATGTAGTTATAATTATTCTCTAAATTCTAGTGACTTTGCAGCTTTAAATTTGTAGGCAAAATTTCCTGAAGAGGCTATCACGTACCCATCGTTTCGGTCATTATGGGCGATTACATCATTCCCAAAACCAAACTTACTGCCATCGAGTTGATGCCGACTCATAGCAACCCCATAGGACAGGATAGATTTGTCCCTGTGAGCTTCCAAGACTTTAAGTCTTTACGGGACTAGAAAGCTCTGTTTTTCTCCTGAGAGCGGCTAGTGGTTTTGGGTGGCCACCCAACATGTAACCACTACACCATTTGGGCTCCTGTGGCTACATCAGGAAGCAACACAACTCACAATCTATAGCACTCATACTGTGGATTCACGTCTTCAGCCTTTCCCCCAAAGCAATCCAAACTCCCTGCCATGGAGTCCATGCTGACTCGTAGTGACCCCTTCAGGCAGGGTGGAACTGCCCCCGAGCGTTTTCAAGACTCACTCTTTATGGGAGGAAAAAGCTGGCATGACTATTAGAAAATCCCACAGAAACTACCAGAGCAGCTAGTCGTTTTGAACTACTGACCTTGTAGTTAGCAGCTCAAAGCATAACCACTATGCCACCCAGGCTCCTTTCCCTTTCCCACACATAACAAAGTTATTAGGAAAATGGAGCTACCACTGGCCAAAGATGTTACAGAATGAACACAGTTGGGGCAGGCAGAGCCTGGGTGAGGGAGTGTTTTTCTTTAAGTATTAATTCTACTAGAAAACATTATAAAAAATAGAAGTCACTTAAAATGGGATGTTACCTTGACACCCAAGACATCAGGGCCTCCCACAATTCAACATCCCATTCTTTTCTGGTTATATCAAGAGAGAAACCATCCGTACATGATTCCACCTCTGAAAGAAAAAAGGCATTTACACTTTAAAATGGGAGAAAGTAGGACTTCCTCCTCCTTAAACATATTTCTAGAGCCACTAAGAAACTTGCATTTACAAAATAAATAACTCACTCCCATTGAGTCAATTCCAACTCACAGTGACCCTCTAGGCCCGAGTAGAACTGCCCAGCGGGTTTCCGAAACGCTAACTCTTTATGGCGATGGGTCACGTGTTGGCCTGCTAACCACACAACACAGTCAGCAATTTCAAAAGCACCAGCTGCTCTGTGGGGCTTTCTGCAGTAGTGGACACAGCGATTCCTCTGAATTGGACAAGGACTGGAACGGAGGGAAGACCACGGGAGAGACATGGCATGTGACCTACAGCTAAGTCAAGTCTGATCCACAGTGACACTCTGGGACCCTGTAAGGGTCCTGAAGCGGCTAATCCTTAGGGAAGTGACTGGTGGCTTCCAAGCTCAGGCCTTTTGGTTAGCGATGCCACGCTTAACCCAGAGCACCACCAGGTCTCCGGATGAGTCATACTTGGCTTGTTTCTCACCTGCTTCGTCAGGCGCTGGGCTCTCCGGAGAGTCCCTTTCTCTGTTCTCCGCAGAGAAGTCTTACTCTCCGGGTCCCTCACCTCAGCCTGTGTGCCCTTTGCTCCCGTTCTCTATTTTCTTTGCATTTTTTTGGTTTGAGGATTTATCTCTCCTGGCTGCCTTTTTGGGCTTCCTTTCCACGTTAGCAGGAGCAGGTTTTACTGACCCCCTCTGGAATCCCCTCTTGGACTCCTCCCTCATCCCGTCCTCCCACCGCCCCCGCCTTTGGCTGCGCTGACCTTCTTCTTGGACCCCTTGGTGGTGAGTCTGGCGAACTGAGAGCCTTTTTAAAGCTGGGCTGTGACACGATGCCACTATGTCCCCTGCCAAAGCTCACGTAGTGCGCTTGAAGAGTAGACACTAAATTGTAATTCCAGTTCTGCGTGACCCAGGGCAATTCACTGTACTTCTTCACCGTAATGCCTTATCTCTACTGTGGGGACAACAGCATCTGCTTTTGTCAGGGGCAGGGATTATTAGGAAGAAAACGTTGATAAAATGGCTGAGCGTACCTTGGTCTCCCACAGGCAATGGATTAGATGCATAGATTAGGGTCGTCATGAGTAGAGGGGAAGTTATTTCAGCGGTAGCTCAGTGAGCCATCAGGTGCCCTGGTCAACACCGAATTATGTTTCTTGTTGAGGCCATTTTCTCAGCTCAACCCAAGGATGTTTCCTTCCTCCCAGACAGGTTGGAAATGCAGCAGTTCCCGCCCCACATCCTTATGTTCCTCTGTGTGCCAGCAGCCCATCTTTGTGCCCATAGTTCCTACCAGTCTTGGTGCCAGAAAGCCTTCGCATCTCTTTAGTAGCTCAGGGAGACCTGGTGGCCTAGTGGTTATGAGTTGGGGTGTTAACTGCAAGATCAGCAGTTCAAAATCCCCGGCCGCTCTTTGGGAGAAAGAAGAACTTTCTACTCGGGTAAAGAGTTACAGTCTCGCACTGTAACTGCCCATGGGGGAGTTCTAGTCTGTCCTATAGGGTCGCTGTGACTCGGTATTGACTCAATGGCAGAGAGTGTGGTTTCCTGGTTTCAATAGCTAGCAGATACTGCTTAGTGGAAACCTGAAGTAATAGGAACTCTGCTTAGTCATAGACATCACTCAGGGAAACCTCAGGAGGCGAGGCAGAGAGCAGTTTTAGTGACGAGCAGGCTGTGCCCACCATCTTGGCGAGCTTGCCCAGACTTTTCATTAGGACACTTCTGATCCATTTGGACAGTTGCGTTTTCTTGCCTTTTGCAGTGATGTATCATGTGACTGTAAACATTCGTGTACAGCCCAGTTCTCCTAGTGCAACTGAACCCAATGTTAACTGCTAGAGACACTGCTATTTGCATGCTGAGCTCGGAGTCAACTAAAAAGAGATTTTTTTCTCATCCACAGAATATTCTGGTACCTCAGGCTAGTACTTTACAAAAATTTTTTTCCCCTATTAAATCTTTATAGAAGGTTCCATTTCAAATCATTTACCATATGCTAAGATCTTTTTGGGTTTGGATTTGGTTGTCTAGCATCGATATCATTTAAACACGTAAAACTATACCATGTGGAAGCTTATTAAGCTCCTGCGGGAATGTGGAAGAGTCTGGAGCCACTCCCTGGGCAAGCAGGCCACGAGAAGCTCCTGCAGGTGCTTATGTGATCGACAGTTATCTAGTGCCGGCCAAGTGCCAGGCACTGCCCGGAGACTTTTGATTTGTTTACCAGCCCTAAAAATCAGAGTAATGACTAGTTATTATACTCACTTTATAGAAAAGGAAACAGGCACAGAAACTTAAAAAAAATTTTTTTTTATTTTAAGAAATCATTTAAAAAAAATCATTTTATTGGGTGATCGTACAATTCTTATCACAATCCATACAAACATCAATTGTGTCAGGCACATTTGTACATTTGTTGCCATCATCATTCTCAAAACATTTGCCTTCTACTTGAGCCTTTAATATTAGCTCCTCATTTTCCCCCTCCCTTCCCACTCCCCCCTCCCTCACGAACCCTTCATAATTCATAAATTATTATTATTTTGTCATATCTTACACTGTCCGACATCTCCCCTCACCCGCTTCTCTGTTTTCCATCCCCTAGGGAGGAGGTTATACGTAGATTCTTGTAATCGGTTCCCTCTTTCTCTGCACGTTCCCTCCACCCTCCTGGTATCGCCACTCTCACCACTGATCCTGAAGGGTCATCTGTCCTGGATTCCCTGTGTTTCCAGTTGCTATCTGTACAATGTACATCCTCTGGTCTAGCCAGATTTGTAAGGTAGAAT